TGATTTCTATATTATATATTTCTATCTTCTAATATAATTTTTATCTTATTTATTATTTCTATATTATATGGACTCCTGGTATTTAGAATTAGCACTGGACTGCTAACCACAAGATCAATGGTTCAAATTTAACCAATCCTTAGAATCCTAGACTGGGTCTCTAAGCATCAGAACCAACTTGATAGCACTGAATAACAGCAACATCAACATATATTATTTCTATTCTGTATATGATTTTTATACTATAGTTAATATCTCTACATTTTATACATGATTTCTATATTATATATTCCTAAATTATACATGTTTTATACTATTTATTATATTACATAAACATTCTATATATGTTTCGTTTCTATGTTCTACATGTATAATTCCCAAAGTATTTAATCCTTAAAAAAAGTATTTTATCCTTAAAAATGGAACTATGTCAGACCTATCCCTTACCTTCTCACTCTCTAAAATCACATAATCAAGTTGGAGTAATCATTTTTAAAACTATCATCAAAAAACTAAACTTAGTAAACTACTTACTAATGCATACAGGTTGAGTTGACCATCCACTTTCCCAGCACGTAATGAATCCTGATGCTTTACCATCTGCTGTTACATATCCTGGTTTACATTTATATTGTGTTCTTTTACTTACAGGATATGTAAACTCAGATTCAGAAATAAAGCCATTATCAATGTGTATATCTGATTTTGAGCATGTTTCTAGAGGGAAACGTCACAAGAAAAATATAAACATACATTCAGTAAACTTATTTATCCAGAATCAAATAAAATGACAATATGATAAAATAATAAGTCATTTACAAATGAGTCTGAAGTAACTTTAATTATCTGGGTTCTTGTGTCACAGAAAATAAACTATATTTCACAAGATATTATATCAAGAAGCTTTATTCATTTTTTTTTTTTTTTAACAGAATGCTTTCAGCAAACACTATACGATAAAGCATTGGACTGCAAAGTCGGTTTGAACTGCAACATTGGTGATTAAACTCCACCAGCAGCTCCTTGTAAACCCTATACAAGATTGCCAAGAGTCAGAACCAAGTCGACAGTAGTTAACAACAACAGGAAACAGCCAGTTGTTGATATAACTCTAGGCAAGCTGTAGGATTTCAGATCCACTAGACAATCAGATTTCTAATAATGTCTGAGCAGGGATTATGAGTCCTGCACCATGCATAGATTGGCAGTTGCCATAGCATTGACTCTGATAGAATAAAACATTGTCCAGTTCTGTATCACCATCATGATCAACAGAATGTTCAAGTCCTTCTTGTAGCTATTGACTGATCCCTCCTGATGAAGTTCCTAAAGCAAGTGACTCAGACACTGTTCTGTTGCGATCCATAGATTTTCACTGAATCATTTTCAGAAGTAGATGACCAAGCCTTTCTTCCTAATCCATTTTAGTCTAGAATATCTGCTAAAACCTGTCCCTGCTGGCATTTGAAATATTGGTGCCATAACTTTCAGCATCATAACAAAATGCCAGCTACCACAGGCAGTGGTACTTTAGAAAAACTTTTCACACTAAATACCTGTGTTAGAAAAGAAAAAGTGTTTCATATCAATAGCTTCAAATTCTACATTAAGCATTGGGAAAAAAATCAGACATTAAGCCCAAACAATATAGTAGCATGCAAAAGAGATCATAGTAAGAATTGGCAAACTGAAAAATAACAGAAAAACATTAAGACACTTAATAAAACAAAAAGCTTAGGTGAACAAAGTTGCAAAACTTTAAAACTACTGAATGATCAGGAAAAAAAGCAAAAACAAAAACTACACATATCAACAATGAGATAAATGGTTTCACTGCTACAGTGTTTTCTTGGTATTTAAATGATAATAATAAGTTTTATGAACAATGTTATGCCAATAAACTCATCAACTTAAATGAATTTTCAAATTTTTGGCCACCACAGCCTACTAAAGCTCAGTCAAGAAAGAAAAGATAACATGCATATATTTATCTGTATTAAGTTGAATGTGTAGTTTGGGGGGGGGGGGGAAGACCTTTCCTCAAAAGGAAAGTTCAAGACAGAAGCTTCCCTAGTAAATTCTATCAAATATTTAAGAAAGAAATAATTATAATTCTACATACACTTATCCATAAAACTGAAATGGGTGAAGGAATGTTTGCCTTTCCATTCTATGAGGCTAACATTACCCTATTAACAAAAACAAACAAAGACATTAGAAATACTAAAATAGAGTAGACCAATATCCATCATGAACAAAAATATAAAATGCCTTAATAGAATTTTAGCAATTGAATAAAAATTCTATAAAAATGATAATATATTATATTCAAATGTGTTATCAAAGGATACAGGGACTGTCTAGCATTAGAAAATATGCCAATGTCATCATATTGGCAAGTTAATAAGGGAAAACATAGACATCCCAATGGTAAAGGTCTGGGTATGTTTATCCTAAGATCAGCAATAGTACATGGAAGGTTCTAATCCACTTCCATCTGATATTTAACTGGAGGTTCTGATCAGTAAAATGACCCAATAAGAAGATATAAAAGCCACCTAGATTGGAAAAGACGTAAAAATGTTTTTATTTACACTTGCCATAATTGTCTATATAGAAAATCCAATGAATTAGTAAGTGAGCTTAGCAAGGTTGCAAGATATTATGAGGTCTACAAACATAAAAAATGCTATTTTTTTCTATAATCTTGCAATGAACCATCAGAAATGGAAATTAAGGAAAACAATATTGTGTCATTGGCATAAAATCATGAAATATTTGGGAAAAATATAATAAAATATATGCCCGATATGTATACCAAAAATTAGAAAATATTGCTGAGAAAAACAAAAAAAATATTTTAAAAAATGAAGATATACAATGTATTCATGGGTCAGAACCACCTCTCATCTGTCAGTTTGTCATACTGTGATGGCTTGTGTTGCTGTGATGCTAGAGACTATGCCACCACGATTTAAATACCAGCAGGATGACCCATGGTAGACAGGTTTCAGCTGAGCTTCCAGACAAAGACAGACTAGAAAGAAGGAGATGACGACTACTTCTGAATATTTAGCCACTGGAAACCTATGAATAGCAATATAACATTGTCAGAGAATATCAGAATACAGAATATTGAAACATGATGAATAGCACCTGAATACTGTCAGATGTAGTGCTGGAAAATGAGCCCCTCAGGTTGGAAGGCACTCAAAATATAACTGGTGAAGCTTGTAAGAGGCTGAAGAAGTAAGAATATAATAATCTTATTTTTATAATTACAAGTGTCCATATAGATGAATCTGTTTGCAAAAGTCTCTTTTGTCTGAAGGTGAATAGTACTTATGGTAAGAAACTGATATATATGTCTAACCAGCTGGAAGTGGAGATAACTCAAAAACAATGGTAGGGATTTCGTCAAGAGAGTCATAAGAAATGAAATTAAAAGAGATTATAATTCCCTTTATCATGACTTAAATGGAAAATAAAATTTTCTTAGGTGCTCTTTACTACCAAGGCCCTAACATAAACAAGAGAAAAATGCACCTAGAGGACAAACAAAATGATGAATCTGGTAGAAGCACAGTGAGGAGCTCCGTCAGCAACAACACAGAATACCAGATCAAGCAGGCTCATGGGATGGTCCCAGAAGTCTGAACTACATATAAAGGAATCTTTAGAAGGTTGGAAGGCTTACAACTAGGGAAATTTGTAGCAGAAGCAAAAAATCCATTGCTTTCTAATTCATGATGCTCAGCTGCTACTGGAGCCACCAACTTGGACGACACTGAGCAGGGGAAGGATTTGAGGAGCCATGGATGCCTGAAAGAACCACAGATAAAGTTGTAGACATTCTTTGTTTTGTTTTGTTTTTGTATCTGTTCATTGGTCTCTCGCTGTCTGTGCACCTCCATTCTGGTGACTAGAGGGAATACCTTAGTGAGTGGACATCCCACCGTTAACCCCCAGAGGGTTCTATTATGCATGCACACAGATCTCCTCAAAATTTAAAGTGACAGTCTCCACTTAAACTCAAACAGCAGTGCAAAATGGCCACAATTGACCCTGAACTGTTTATCACTAGGAAAAAGGCCTGAACAGAAATTGTGGAGTGGGACACACAGACTGAAAGAAAGAAATAAGCTGAAAATTAAATCCTGAGTTATGACACAATGACCAACAGTGGCATCTTGAAATTTCTCAGGAAGAAAAGTGAAAAGGGAAGCCCATATCCTGATCACATCTACCTGGAGGCAATCAGCATGAAAAATAACAAAATACACACCCATCTAAGTAGTAAGGGTATAGATAACTCCTGAATATATCCCCCAAACAGAAACAGATGACCACATCAACATACGTCCATAAAGAAGATAAAGTGACTGAGGAAAATGAGCTGGAAGTAGACCTACACTCCATACTGGAAGATGGGCAGGCTTTGGAAATGCCTGAGAAGGAATTCAGAAAAATGATAAAAGGTATCAAAAAACTATACAATGGAGTAGAGAAAAATAAGGAAGAAGTCAGGAAAGCACTACAGGAACAAGCAAATAAGAGAGATACAGCATTGGAAACAATTCAAAACCTACAGACAGAGGTCCAACTGATTAATAATAGAATATCAAAAATGGACAAAACACTGAAAGGGCAAAGGAATAGAATTGAAAAGATAGAAGCCAGAACTAGTGAGCTAAAAGATAAATCTCTCAATGCTACTAAGATAGAAGAGCAAGCCAAAAAAAAAAAGATAAAAACATTTGAAGAAGGCTCAAGATTCATATTTACAACATGAAGAGGAATAACTTAAGAATTATCGGCATTCTGGAACAGGAAAATCACACAAGCCACAGAGGAAATAGTGGAAGAGCTTTTGGAAGAAAATTTTCCTAACATACTGAAAAGCGAAAAGATAAGCATTCAAGAAGCTCAAACAACCCTAGGAAGGACAGACCCTAAAAGAAAATCACTAAGACATATAATAACCAAGCTCTCCAAAACCAAAGATAAGGACAGAATCCTGAAAGCAGCTAGGGAAAAGAGAAGTCTAACATACAAAAGCAAGCAAATCAAATTAAGCTCAGACCTCAAAACAGAAACCATGCAGTCAAGGCAATGGGAAGACATCTATAAAACTGTGAAAGAAAAAAAATAAAACAAAAAACTGCCAACCAAGAATCCTCTACCCAGCAAAGCTGTCAGTCAAACATGATGGTGTAATCAAACCATTCCAGGATAAACAGAAGCTAAGGGATTTTGACAAAGCCAACCCTGCTATGAAAAACATCTTAATGGAAGTTCTGTGGACTGAGAACCAAAAAGAACAGACAACAACCAGAGAATGACGTACGTGGCAGCATCACCCTGAACTCAGTCAACAAATGGAAGAATCAAGAACAGAATAAAATAATAACAGAGGGTCTGGGTGGTCAGTCTATGATCAAAACAATTACAGTGTGAAAGAAAGTAAACAGAAAGGAACAGAGATCCAGGTAGTGAGAAGGTTAGGTAGATTACAGGATAAAATAGACTATCTTAAATGGAGGGAGAAGAGTTAATGGAATATAAGGTAACTACAACAGTGGGGATGGGGAGGGGAATTTAGTTCTGGTGTTGGGGAGGACAATACAAGAAGGAGGAGGAGGTGGAAGAACAAGATAGATAAGGAAGGCTGAGACAGGTTTGCATGGCCTAAGTGGCACAGAGGTAAATAGTGATGC